AAGAACATTTTAGTCTGGTTACTAAATGGAAAAAAGGGAGAAAATCAAAAGCCAGCTCCCCCTGAAAATACAGCCTATAGGGATTTTCCCCTACAGGGTCCCCTTTTATTGTTAAAAATTAGTGTCTATGGAGGACATTTTCCAAATAAAACAAACATACGTGTAACGAGAGGTCTAAAGTGACTAAAATAAATTCAGAGGTACAACAAATAGTTAAGATGACTTATCATGTATTTGTTCTGTCAATTGAATCAAGAAGATTATCGTGTTTAATCTGCCTGGCTACAGCCTGCTATAGTTCATGACAAGCAAATCTAACCACACGGCGAAGCTGGAAATCTGCAGATATTAACACTTCAAACGTCATGGTTTGACCGGCTGCTTTCCAGCGCAAAGCAAAGCAGGGTCACAGCCACTGTCGCCCTCCCAGCACGCTTCTCCACTAACAAGCTCATCACGCACAAAGAGCATCCCCCAAAACGAGAGCGGGAAGGGGTTCGTTTCTTATTCAAGACAGTAAGAGCCAAATTTATGAATGATTTACTCCTGGGGTTGAGGGCTTGATGCAAATGAGCATAAAGGAAGTTGTCAGCAGCATCATACTCTGGCCAATGGTAGGAAAGCTCCATCTTAGCAGTGCCATAGGCTGCATTAAAAAAAGGGACCAGAACAGCGCTCTTTCAGCATCCTTTCAGACAAGAGGTAGGTGTGTATTCATTTTATAACATTGTCTTAGGTTTATCTTGATTACTAAAAGAAAATATGCCTGTAACCTACAAGCCTGTAAAAAGCTTCTTAGAATTAGAATGATTTTTCTCTAGGTTTAGCAGGATTTTATTCCGCTGAACGCAGAGGGGCTTGTCTTGCACTATCAGACAAGCACTTTCACCATCTGTGCACTAATGGAAAATTGATGACCACTCCATCTTGCAGAAAAGCTAATGCACCAAGCCAAGATTCAGTAAACAAAATGGATTTCATGCTTATTGGGGAGGTAGCTTGTTTCCTGCAGCCTCACGTTCCTTGTAACTGATTCTGTATGTTTTTGCAGAAATGACAGTGAAAAGATTTTCCTTAAAACAACGACAGCTAAACCTGAAATTTAAGAAATATATCTCCCAAGTGGGTATTCTGTAAACCGTATCAATTAAGCTGCCTAAAAGAGATCTATGTTCATGGATATGCTAAAAACCTGTTCTAGAAATTTGGTACATTAGGGTAGGAAGAAAATCCCGTTGCATATTATTATTCCTGTAAATACTGGAGCCGTGATCAACACAATACAAACAGACAGGTTAGAATCCATCTGAGATTTGTAAATGCTATTACGCCAAGATGTCTATTCAGTGGTTTCTTAAACAGGACTTCCTCAGTGCTGCATTGAAATGATTTTTTGCCAGTCATTTCCCTCTGCTCCATGCATACGATTTCAAATAAAGCTGCTCCTCTGCAGCGTCTAAAGATGATGATACTTTTAAATTAAAACCTAATACGGGTATTACAGAAGCCAATTCATTAAATATTTAACTCACTGCATTTTGGATACATACAATAGCTGAAATGCATTCAAATCAGACTGGCTTAAAATATTAATTTAAATTGTGCCATTACAAAATAAGTAAAACTGCATGAAACCAGACCATCTTTGACAGCTTTCAAAGACACTAACCTTATTAGTGCTGTGCTAATTCTGAAGGCTCGGCAATGGCTCCTTCAGTCTTGTATTTTAATAATTACAGCAACGAGTATCTGATATTTATCTGCCTCGCCTCATTCAAATCTAAGGAGATCATCATCATCCTCGAGAAGCACGAACCACCTCCGGCACAGGCATTAAATTCCACCTCCCTGCGTAAAGACGAGTTTCTCTACGCTGTGCAAATCGCTGCCCTAATGGTGGCTGTGGAGTGGGAAGGGGCCGGCTGCTGCACTGCGCCGGCAGCCGAGCGGCACGGACTCCTGCCTGGGGAGCCATTCCATGCCATGCCAAAGATGCTCCTCTCCTCTCGGCAACAGAGCTACAGCCTTGGCGGAGAGCTGTGCCGGCAAAGGGTTCTGGCTACGCAATGTAAACATGCCCAGTCTCTACAGTGGCCCCAAATCTCGAACACTTTTAGCAATTACTAAAATACTAAATTTCATACATTACTGAACTTCATTAAATACATCAGCAGGAACAGTTAATTTTTGTGCCTGGTGTTTACAGAGTGGGCAAACTTAAATGCAACAGATTCCAAGAAAATCCTCAGTCTTGGAAATCTGTTTAAGAAGATCAAAACAAAACCCCTCTCCTTTCTTTCTCAAGGATATTCTCTTGCCATTTAAAATACACATTTAAATCCTCCTTGTTTTAATTACCCCTTAAAGGGGACTCCAAATCCTTTTATTTAGCCCCCCCTTTCTCTCTCACAGATTTTCAAAGAAATCTTCAGACCAGCGTTTCAACAACCCTCCTGACTTCTTAGTCCCATAAAACAGGTCAGCTGAGTTTCTTTCCTAGATTGTGACCAAACCAAGCCTCGCTTGCAAAGCCAGGACCCAGCTCAGCTCAGGAGTATTTTTAGCTTGGAGTTGCTCTGTAATCTTTTGTTTAAGAAAAAACTAACAGTTTAATTAATCCTATCCATCTCAGCCATACTTTGTATATTCAGTTACAAATTTGTGTATTCAGTTACAGATTTAACAGAGGAAACAGTAAGTTACTGCAACTGCTCCAATAAATGTCTGTATCAAATACTAATGCCAGGTATATTCCCAACAACAAAGTTGTTCTGTTTCAGTTTAAACCCATTAAAGACAGAAGGATAAAGAACAAAATGTTTAATATTTGACCAGTAAAAATAAGACATAAACTGCAAGCTGGTTTGGCTGCATCATCCTGGTTTTCACAATATCCTTTTTTCAAATAATGACACAAAAATAATGACATGTACTTAGGCTGCTTTAAGTAATCTGTTTTAGTAGACACCATCACACTTTGCCTTTGTCACTTGCCATTTATTCAGGCATTTTGTAGTTTTCGACATCTAAACACATTGATTGCAGAATTATTTCTGGGATACACAAGGTTCATTAAAGTATTACCGGTGAGCACAGTTTAACAAACATCAGCGTTACCCCTTCATTCCGTAGGTTTGATTACTGAATGAAATTCAACTAAATGCGGATAGCCAGGACCATTTTGTAACGAACATAGCTAGGTTTTCACTTTCTGCGTTATGTTCAAAGCAAAAAACTCTTTCCTTAAGGCATGGAAATAAGACTCCAGGTTTCTACAAAGTTACAATCTTGTCTCTCTCTTCCCCTTCCATAATCCCACGTTTTCTGGGGCACCCCAGCAGAGGAAAGCACATTTTGCGAGCTGCCCCTTAGCCGGCACGCATGCACCCACAGGCTTACATGCGGGGCACAGGCTGGCTTGTCAGTGCTGCTCACCACCACGTTTCACCTAAAAACTCTTTGCTATTTCTTCAAGGGAATATGGAGATCTGACTCAATCTCCTTCTCCCACACGCAGTTTTCAATCGCCTGAAGGATTCAAAGGTTATTACGGTGTCCTACGGTACGCTAAGACAGGTAACCAGAAGTTACTGTCACTCCTTGGACACTTTTTATTCCATTAGACTATATACCAAAAGTACTGTAAGTTCCCTCAGTTTTGGGAGGCAAAGCCAGGGAAAGGAGGAAACCGGGGGAAAACCAGACACAACTGTAAAGATGTTACTGCCAAACACCTCATCCACCTGCTTATCGGTAATTCACAAAGAAATTCAGACACAGACAAAACTGCTTTTTTGTTCTAGATATACTACAGTAATTACTGAGGCACAGCCTACTTCCACACTTTTGAGCAATGGCCTTTCCAAAACAGCACATCTCGACAGCAACATCATTCACGCCAAAGGCAGATCCGCTGAAGCCAACTTCTTGTTTCATCTCTCCCCCACACCACAAAGCAGTCTTTTCTTCTGCTGGGTACAAACAGACAGTACTGGACCAAAGATGACATTCCTTTCCTAGCAGTTAAGCAGAGAATACAGTTGAAAATAAGAAATCAGAACTCCTCAGAAAGAGCTGGGTTTTCCTTGTTATCTATCCAAATGATCACAGCACCACAAATGGGCCAAGATTTCCAAATGCACTCAGTGCCATTCGGGCAGCTGAATGAGGCAGTTGGATTTCTCGAGCACAAACTTCTACTCAACAGTGGAACAGCCTGGGAATGAATGCATCGGGAAATCTGGCGTTCGGAAGTCAAAAGACTTCTGCAGGGTTAACAAGTCTGGGCTAATAGGCAATTCTAAAATAATGAGTTTTAAAGAACCAGGATTGTTTTTTTGTACTAGAACGACCAAAAGTTCTGTTCTTTGAAAACGTCCTCCAAAATAGTTATGATTTATACATTTTTTTAAAGAGTGACCTCTTTCTTTCTCCCAAGTAGGAGAAAAAAGCCAACCAACCAACCAACCTCCAATGACATTAACATTTAGTAAGTTCTTCTAATCACTCAGATAAGGAAGGGCGGTACGCGGATCTCCTGTTTTTCTAAGAATGCCAAAAGAGCACTGAGGACTTTCACACCATGCGAGTACCAACCTCAATAACAACAGTGGACAGGTCACCGAAACCACTGCATATCTTGAAAAATATCTTTGTAAGCTTTCTGTCTTTGCATATACGTGAAATAAAGAAGCAAAGCTCTCTCATTCCAAAATAATTTGCACTATGTGACACATGTGTGGACCAGTCATCGCTGAAATGAACATTCCAGACAAATCACAAAAGTTGTACATTTAGAGTTTGATAGTTTTGTGAGTAAATACGAGTATGCAACGATCCATGTTTGTAGGAGGTGCGAGCACTTAGTCTGAGCTTAAGTTCTAACAGTTTGGGATAAAAATCACAGCATGTTCTTGGTCAATGCAGTCCTCAACAGCTTTGTTTTTCTGTTTCAGCCCCCAAATCCGTGACAGTGAGCACACCAAGACAACTCTTCAAGAATGGCAACCCTCAACACCACTCACTGGAACGAGACTACATCAATTTCCCAGTATCTGGGCTTTCAAGTGCAAAAAATTTACCCTTTCCATGATAACTGGAACACTGCCTGCTTTATTATTCTGATCATATTCATCTTTACTGTAGTTTCTCTGGTGGTGTTGGCTTTCCTCTATGAACTGCTAGACTGTTGCTGCTGTGTGAAAAATAAAACTGTGAAAGACTTGGAGAATGAACCCAATCCTGTCAGAGCAATGATGAACAGCTTCAGAAAGCATGAAACAGAGGTGGTGTAGGAAGGACTGCGCATCAGCACTTGAAGAACGTTAAACACCTTGAATGAAGCCTCTTGTATCTTACAAATGAGCAAGTCACATGCTTTTTTTTCTTTTGGACTTAAATATAACAGCAACAGTTATCATTTTACCTCTGGATGTGAACTTGAGTAATTGGCAAAGGATTTCCGAGTGCTTAGCAGAAGGATAATCTGTTGCAATGTTATGGGGGGGAGAAAAGATATTTGTTTTCAAATGAACTTTTGTTGTTTATATTGAATTACTAGCATAGATCTTTGTCTACCTGAACAAACAAATGTTGCCTAACATGCATAAAACTATGTTGCTTAACTGGAGAAAATATTTATAAAAACACTCAACAATCTGATCATACATACTGCAAAGACACAGCAGTGCCCTCCCACTGAGGTCAACCACACAGATATAAAAGGGGTGAGAAAAAAGATACGAGATAGAAGGGTTGCATGGCGAGAGATCCCACGAGACAGGAGACACTTGTGTGAATTCTTGCCTTTGACAGCTCTTCTTAATTACGGGTTTCTTGCTTTTAGAAGAGAGGGTGGTGGGAAGAAAAGTAAACCAACATGAAACATACCCCCTAAAATGGTCTTTTCTAACCTCCTGTGGTACAATTTGACCCTTTCTCCCTCCCTTTCTCCAGTTCCAGAGAACTGCTCTCCCCTTACTTCATATTCAACCTGTTGAACAACTTCTGGGTGTTGAGACGTGACTGATGCACTACTTTAAGAATATCTGACTGTTTCCACAAAAGCATACTGTAGTGGCACTACGGTCTGGAACAAACAGGGACATTTTTCTGCCCCAAGGCTGCTGCCTCTATGGTAACCACAACACCACAGGGAGTCAGACATGCTGGAGATTAACTTTTCAAAGCTGAACTGGAACCGACTGAGTTCTCGCCAAGGAAGACAAGCAGACGGGTCGCAGATCTCCCACACCGACGACAGTAATTTTGCTCAGCCTGCACACAGCTTTCAGGTGTTGACATGCTTCACAAAGGAGGCCACACCAGGATAAGCCTTGCGCTAGAGATGGCAGGATGGATGTACGGCGAGAAGTGACTTCATTTTGCACAAGAGAATCTCAGTTTGCTTCATTCGCCTGCCGATGCATCCCAGAGAGTTCACACTCACACCTTTCTCACAAACTGACCGCCTAACACTCAGACCTCTAGCTCACCAGATTGTTTTTCTTCTGTAGCTGCGTTGCATCTATAGTTTTTAAAACCATAAAAGTTTTGCAGTTACAAATTACAACTGTAATAATGGCGTCCAACAGTGTGGCCATCAGTAAGACCTGATTAAGTCTTTCAAACTCCTGAACCCACAGAGAAGCAGGCCAGCGAGAAACATCCCAGACTGAAGCTACATGTGGGACGAGATATTTAACTATATAAAACCCAAATAATATTCCTGTCATTAGGGAAACAAAACCCACCTAGTGGCCAAATGGACCAGTAAGCTACAACGCTGATCTTGCAGTCTATCCACATCAGAAATACCTTTGTGCTATGGCCAGTACCTGTAATTATCTCTTTCTTTTTTTTTTTTTTTTTTTTTAAAATATATAAACTGCCTCTATCAGGTTCAGTATGCCTCAGCTCCAGAAGATCCAGACACAATAAAAGACTCACTAATTTGACTCATGCTCTTCCTGGTCAGTGAGATGGAGTCACAAGACACACAGGCCACTACTAACCAGCACAGCCAGTCCAGTGATTCACCTGGAAAAGCAACCTCCCTTCTGCAATCACAAAATGACACTACCACCGCTGCAACCATTCATCTCAGATACACTTGTTACAGTGAAGTCCCGCCAGTACCAGTCTCGCGTGCAGAGAATGCTTTTAGCTAAGAATCAAACTATAAGCACAATTAATGGAAGCTGACATCCCAGGTACAAGACAACTTAGGATCCACACCAAGACGTACAATGAAGCTAGTGTTAGTGACAATAATGCTTTCTGCTGTCAGGGACACCGGGTAGATGCCTCATTACATTCTGCTGTATTTGACAGCGTCAGCCCTGAGAGATCCGTGTCCTGCTCAAGATAGGCAACAGTAGCTGTCTGGATGCACTGAATTAATTAACATGCCTCTTTCCTGAAAGCAAACACTCCGAACAGCAACAGGACTGCTGGCCGCTTGCAGCTTCCCTACAAAACGCTCAATATCGCTGCACACAAGAAGGCAGCGTACAGGAAGTAACACGGCTAGCCTCTGCTATGCTGGCTTCAAGTTCTCAAGCCTTCCTGAGAAGCACACGCAATGACAAATCTTGGGACTCATTCCAGCTACTTATTTCACAGATCTATAAAGGGGGCTGGGTGTTTGCACAAGGAACAGAAGACAAAGATCTACCCTTGCACAGCCCTAGAGCCTCAGGACGATTCTTTCCCAAATGTAGGCCAAGTCGTGAAACTGCTCCTGGAGATTTCAGCTCTCGATTACTGTTGGCTAAGACCATCAAGACAAAGGTCTTAAGATAAAGACTAAGGCTTTAGGCACAACTTACTATTCATTAATAAAAAGAAATAAACAGATATGATCAATTTCATTTATTTTCCAGTTACTATTCCGAACTGAGTAAACAAGGCAGAGTTTGAATTTTTCAAATAACTTCTTTGAATAACGATTTCAAATAATGATAGTAATAACTCTTCTCACTGGAAAGCTTACAACAAATCTTCACACACAGACCAGATTTAGCTATACAGTCATTTGAAGATTAGTGTGATCTCAATGTCTCTCCTCCCCAAAAAAGTGACAAGGGCAGGTTCTCTGGTCATAGAATCACAGAACAAGGGAGAACCTGCAGGTGCTACACACCCAGAGACTATCAATGCCAATGCACTGTCACTGTGACATTATTTACCGTCTTTGTGGTCGTTACACAACAAAACTAGGACTGATCATGTTCATTTTCATTTCTTTGGGGGGGTGGGGCAGGGATTCTTCAACATCACATTCTTACTCCACCTCCCCAAGACCCATCTCTGACACACGCATATCTGACAGGTACCTAACAGTCTGGCGATTCAAATAAGAAGCTGGTTTTGAGGCAAAGGAATTGGACTCTGCAGCATCACAGGGCAACTTGCGCTGCTTGTGGCTGCTTAACCTGTTCAGTTGCTTGCCAGCCTGAACACTTGTTCTGAGCTGATTCCTAAGAACAAGAGGAAGAAAGTTGGCTCGCTCGCTCTCCGTTATTTTTCTTCCATCCTTGCTGCTTCTGCAGTACTTAGTAAATACTCTCCAAGGGAAAATGAAAGTAGACTGAACTCATTCCACATAAAAGTGTTATAGAAACCCTGAAATCTTTCTGACGCTGTCTGGAATGAAGCCAGCAGCATAAAAGTTAAAGCGTATTTTCTCAGAGCCACACGTTCCTATTTGTGTAAGCTAATCATTTGACAGCTGCAAAAGCACTTATAAAAATACCCAGCCCACAAAACCACAGAAAAGAAATTACTTTCTTTATCTACTTTGCCACTCGGCCACATATCTACTCAACTCCTCCAGATCAGACTCACGTTTGAACTGTCTGCCCTCTTCCTACCTCCCCATCCCCCTTTCCCAGCAAACCGGTCTCATGCAGGATATGCAGTTTAGGACATTCCACATAGATTTTTATTTTATTTGTGGCAAAGAGACCACGGAAACCTGGCCTCCCTTAACTTATTTTAAAATGTCTGGCTGATAACTTTATTTGGTGCCCTCAGAACCTGGACATACATAAGCAGACTCCGTACTCTTCCCCTCAGACAGAAAATGCTCTACTCCTCCCATTGTCCTTGATGCACTTCTCTGTTGTTTTTAGCTCTGTTGTTTCTTTTGGAGTTTAGAAGACAGCCACACGTGGTATTCAAAATATGACCAAGCAATGAGTTTGCGCAACAGGGTATTTTGTGTTTTAGTAACTCCTGACATAAAATGCACCTTTAAGAGTGCATCCAAGAACTGTCAGTGCTTTCAGAGCACTGAAAAGGCCCCCCAAGTTAGGAGTCTCTCACAGTAAAAGCAAACACAGAGAGTGCCGCTGCGTGCACACAAATCGTCTCCCTGCTACTCCAGATACTGCACTTTTCCTTTGCTCCCACTAATTTGGTGCTGCTTTATTAACCGCTTATTTGATACTGAGAGACGCATTATCAGTGCCATCATCCCAGGGAAACAGCAAAACTCCTGACCAAAGCAGACAGAAACCTACAGAAGCCCTGGTGTTCATGAACAAAGATTAGGTCCCAAGTAAAACAAGAATGACTGCTAATCACAATATGCTAGCCAGACAAGATGGAAGGTGCAAAATCCATCACACGGATAGATAGCCTACAACCTACAGTTAACAAAATTAAGTTTTAGGCGCTCTCTTACCAGAAAGACAGAGGAGGAAAAAAAAGAACAATACCGCTGTTAACACTTGTCCTTGGGTCCAGCAACCACTGAAATCCACTAATTAAAGCTCAGCTTCATCCGAAATATTTTGGCAGCAACGATTACTCCAATTGACTAACAGCAAACAAGTCACAGGATAATGCCTGACATGCATACGTGGTAGCAAAACCGTTTTTTCCCATCGCACAACTAAATTTCCTAACAAAAAGCGACAACTTCAGAAAAAGAATGACAACAACCACCAGCAAAATTCAGATAGACTGATTCATACTAATAAACCATAGCTTAGAGGCAGGTGGTAGAAAACACCAAACAGCTGTGAAACATAAGACTTTCACCAACCTGTATTCTGTTTTGAGCTTGACGAGCCACCTTGTTCTACCTTTGCTTTCTTCTTTTTTGAAGAAGAGGAGTCAGAAGATGGCGCTGGACGTTTTTCTACTGCTGGTGTGGAGAGGGCACGCTTTTTGAATAGCTCTCGCTCCCTCAATAAGCTTGGATCCATAATTCTGTCACAAGAAGTAAGAGGAAAAAGGAACAAAAAGATATTAGAGTCAATAAGATACTTAAGAGCAGAGAAATCTGTTTATGAAGTTGTTTATTTCTTGTTTGTACCCTTCTCTTCCAGTGCACGGACTTTTAAGAAACTGACACGTCTGGGGATTTCAAGTGTCAGAACAACCCCCCGAACCCCAAAGAAGAATCCCAAGGTAGATAACGGGCTTTCTGAGCCATGTCTCAAACTCACATCCACCCGGGAAAGCGCCGGGGAAGCCTGCCGGCCCCACACCAAGGCCAAACGCCCGTCTGACCGGCACCCGGCGTTAACGAGGAACTCCAAAGTCACCCACACCAGACAAAACTTAGGCGACAAACCCAAGCGACCGGATCCACCGCCCGAAAACCACCGACCGGCAGCGACCCCGACGGCGTCGGCCCCTCGCTGCCCTCCACGCCCCCCTTTACCCACCTCCGCGGCACAGCGGGACAACGCGAAGAAGGGCCGGCGGCGGGCAGGGGCCTGGGGAAGCCGCCTCCCTCCTTCCCTTTCCTTCTCTCCTTTCCCTCACTCCTCAGCGCCTGTCCCCCACCGGCCGGGCGGGC